CCTTTACATTTAAAAGCAGAATATGTTGTTGTTCAGGAATAATGTGAAAATGATATAGTTAAAAACAAATAAAGAAATGAAAAATAAAATTTAACATTCAAGAAATAATGTTGCTTAAACTGGCCTTAGCTTCTTATTTTCTTTTTCAACGTCTTAAAACAGTCACAAACTACTATAAAACTAGCATTTCGGTTCATTTGAAAGTAATCCCACCTAACCTGTTATTCACCTCTTTTATGTCTGTGTCCCTGTTTGACTCCACAGGTCAAGACTTGTTCTAGTCTTTCCCTGTGTACCGTTTGGTGTTGAGGATTTAGCAGCACCCCCTAGTGGATGGCAGAGGACTTGCACAAAACAAAATAAGTTTTAGGGATTTAATGACATTGACCAACACAAAGTTGTGTTTAAATGAGAAGTGGAAGAAATATTATTACACAATTATTTTACAAATAAAAGCTTGAAAGGTTTGCAGTTCACTTCTTCAGTCTCTCTCAATCTTTAAATTAAAAACTGAAAATTGTTCCCCATTGCTAAATATAAGCAGAGTTCAGTCAGAAAGGATGGAGAGCTTCTGTAAACAGCAATTTAAAAGTCTTGTCTCAAAATCTCCTATTTTAAATATTTACTTTGATTAGGCCATTCTAACACAATATGATTCTTTATAATCCAAAGAGCAATTTTGTCCTTAGTCCAGGTAAATAAAACTTGTTTACTTCCTGTGATTTATTTTTTTCTATTTTTACTATAAAACCTAAAAATATAACAATGAGATTGTGGTTCACAAAAGTCAACATAAAACAAGCCCATTTTAAATTATTTCTCTAAAAAAATATTCTATGTTAGCTGGTGTTTATATATTGATTTTATTTACGGTTTTTATTAACCAACTAATACTCTCTTGTCCTTCACTAAGGCAAAGGAAGCAACAACAGTGTTTGTATTTATTAATATGGCCGCCCTGGGTAATTTTATAGCGTAGACAGTTTGAACAGGAAGTGATCCACGCCACTGATCCGCCATCTTGGTAGGCAAACACAGCTCAAAGCATAGATGAACCATGACTTCGAGATCAACAAAAAGAGCTTATTGACAACTAAATATCGATAAAATCACTGTGGTTGGGCTCAAACCATATAGACAATGTGGCTTGTTTACTGTTGTCATAGCAACTCCATGGCAACTGTCATGACAGTTAGTTACAGATACCTACCAAGATGGCTGTCAGCTACAAAGTTCCCAGAAGTGTGATGTCACATGAGCACTATGTATGGTTTGTCCTTTAAAAATATGCAAAAAATGCTTTCAGTGTCCATAATTCTGAAATATAATTATTAATATTGTTGATTTTACTCCTTACTATGACATTTTTCTGATCTCGTCATCCATCTCGGCCCCCAAAAGAAACACATTCACGTGGCTATTCACGTGGCTCATTGGTAAGTTTTCTTGTGGTTTCCTTTGGTAACCCAATGAGGAATATTCCTCCTGGCTTCTTCAAGTACTTTCCAAATATCTATTTTGGATGTTGTGGCCACCTTTTGCTCTGTTTTCAGTTAGAATGACCCTATGCTTTTATAAAAAGTGCACAAATACATAGATGAGTAGCAGATGAGTAGCAGCATTCATCCACTACAATGGGCCCATTGATGTATGAGCCCAGGAGAACAAACCAAACAAAAATATTAAATTACACATCTAGTATGTATAAAATTATTCAGGAACAAGTCCATAAAACAGTAAAATGCTGTTATCTTTGTGAAGTTCTTAACAGGAATATGAGATTTGTTTCATTCATGTTTTTTCTATCAGCTCCTTTTGGTGACTCAGCTTGAACTAAAAACTCAGTGTGTCACTGACCTGCTTTATAGCATCTGTTCATTTATTTATCATTGCTTTATGTGCGACACAGCTAAAAAGAAGTGAAAACATGCACAGGCAAGCTTCATGCAAAAGCAAAGGATAAAAACATATCTGATGCTGAATAGATTAACTGCTAGGTTTAAAGTACTTAAGGATAAAAACAGTGTTTAAAGAGCAAAATCTCTACCTTTTTTCACCCAGCTGCAGGCTGAATAAGTGAAGCATGCTTCTGTGAGCGTTGGCTGATTTAAAGTTGCTTGCTTCCACGGGTCCACATCAGGGATATTTCATATTTCTAATACCAGGTCACAGATGTTTTTCTTGGCTTTCCATTGCCGCTCCAGGAGAGCTGGTCTGGCTTTCTGGGGAGGAAACATGCAGTCAAATGAAATCCATCAATAAATCATCAGAAAGGAGGCATTAAAGTTTAAAATAGAGAGTAACAGTGAATAAACTGAAGATCATGGACATGCTTTTCTTACACATATAGCCCCCAGTTGTACATATAAAGCCTGCAGACGTGCAGAAAGATACAATAATGTTGTGTAAAATATTGTAAAATTAAAACATGTGAAATTATATTCAATTTTAATTTAATTTAAAATACTTTAATAGTCCTAAATGGAAATTGAATCAAATATCAGCCTCCATTACATTTTATGGTCTGTTTTAAGGCAGTAAAATGTTCTTCACACATCTCCTTCAAATTGAAACCTACTTTTTGGTTGATCATGTGAGAGTCATGGAACGATTGCAAAATGTTTAAGGACAGAAAAAATGTTAGCTGGGTTGTTGATATTTAGCAATTTTAATAGAGACTAGGAAATATATATAATATAAATAATATTGGTATTCTGCCATAGCAGCAATATTAATATAAATATCGTCCCAAATGTTTTAATTGGTGCATCACTAGAAATCAGACAGAAGAACTTGCTAGGTACTGCTTAATGTTATCTCACTTCAATGTAAAATGGGGAAAAAGTCAGTTTTATTAGTTTTTAAAAAGTCATCAGAGAATTTCTCTAATCAAACATTTTTGTTAAAATATTATCATATTTTTAACAGTGCCCAAATAAAATGAAACCAATGATTCAGTCGATAAGCATCACCATTTAATTCCAGTATTTTGGTTACTTGAGGTTTTTTTTAACTATAAGGTTATTCTCTTTTTTTGTTTGTTTGTTTTTTCAAATAATGTTTAAGACATAAGGTGCTCATGATATGTAATGCTTCTTTATTCGTGTTTTACGGTAGCAGTTTCGTACAACGGAAGTCGGGACGACAACTTCCTTAGTAACAAGCAGCTTGCTTGGAGATGCCTGGTTAGCATGTAGCTAAATGTTACTTCGGATGATATTTTCTGAAATGTCTTAATTACTTATATATGAAAGAGTGTCAGTGTTTGGCGTTATGTATGTAGTGGAAACTAAACTGTAAAACTAACATTGTTTTTGTGGCTGATTTAACTGTTTAACTCCGGATCCGTTCACCGAACCATGTCTCCGTTAGCCAAATGATTATTAGCCGTTTGTGTTCACTTCACGTCCTCCTCCTGTGTGGACGTTTGGCTCTCTCAGCCACAGATTTAGGGGTCACTGACTCTACCATCTCCAGCCAAACAAATGGAGGCCCCTTCGGCTCACCCACCCCGACTCCGGGTGTTAAGGGGGCCACAGAGGAAGCCACTCTTTATCCCACTTTGGACACAGAAACTCCGTCTCCAACCACCGACCAAACTCCGATGTCAACAGAGGGTGACCCACAGAGTAAGCAGAACAACTTAGCAGGGATAGTAATTGCTGGTTTGACGGTTCAAGTATGTTTAACATTTTCTATAAATATTTATACTTTTAATGTTTTTTTTTTTTTTTTTTGCCCCATTTTATTTATTGGGTAACACTTTATTTGAAGGCGTGTGCAAAAGACAGACATGACACTGTCATAAAAATAAAGGATCTTCATGAAGGTTTGACTGTTGTCATGAAGTGTCATTCGGTAAATAATAACACTTTTAATGCAAAGTTGACACTTTTAATGGACTGTTAATGCAGATTTTAATGCAACTTTGCTTTTAAAATGTAATTATTTACAGAATAATACAAAGTTGACACTTTTAATGCATCTTTTAGTGCAACCTTGCATTGAAATATCATTATTTACCCAATGACACTTCATGACAACTTCATGACAACAGTCATAAACATTTATGAAGACTGCTTCATGTTCATGACAGGTGTTATGTCGTGTTTATGACTGTCATGTCAGTTTTATGTACAACCCTTCAAATAAAGTGTAACTGTTAATTGCATTACATAAAAGGAAACTAGAATAAATTTGTGTGTAAAGTCATTAATGTTTGAAGTGATTCCAGATTTAATATTAAATACTAAGACACCAAATATCCCCCAAAATGCAAGATTTAGCTGTTTTAGTAATATTTCTAACAATTTTGTGCCTTTCTGTTGCCATTTATCTTTCCTGTTTAGGTTATAATAATAATTTTTGCTTAATTTTAAAACAAAGCATTTTCCCAAAAGGGAAATTAAGTGTGGGCAGGAAGAATCTCCAGCAGCAGTCAGTCTTACAGTGACTCTGAAGAAGCCTCTGACTGAACACAGTTTCTCACACAGCACCATAAAGGAAAAACAAACATTCACACACACCTAATGATGTGTTAGAGAGACAAATTAACCTAAGAGTCAAGTTTTTGGATTGTGGTTCATCAGTAATCACTTCTTTCTTCATCATTCATGTAGTATGAAAAGTTCTGTATTTAATTTTGACAGTGAATCCCGTTACTAACGTTCATCTTCTTGTTTTTGCAGTTTGTCTCTGTGATCTAACTCCTGGTTTCTGTGACATCGGCTGCTGCTGTGACACAGCTGATTGTGATGTTGCCAACCTAAGCACCGTCTTCACCGGCTGTCCAAAAGAAGACGTGTAGGCTCTCCACACATTCCCTCCCTGTGTGTTCCATAAATGCTTTAATGGTTTTAAAAAGTCAACTTTTGTGATGCAGGAAACGAGTTTGCATTGAGAAATGGCTGATGTTCAGAGCCAACGTGGATTCCTCACTCGTCACGGTGACGGACACATTGTTTTGTGTTCAGGCAGAAGGTAAATGGATTAAGTGACTACGGCTGCAACTGATGATTATTCCAGTGATTATTTTTTGAAGATTAATCGGATAAAAAAAATGCTGGAATATTTTTGCAGGTTTTTCATTTTACCATTTAAGCTTATTTCATAAAATATTAGAAATCCATTAAAAATACACTAATAGTTACATTTATTTTTAAGTTGGAATATAAACATCTTATTGCTCAAAATGCAAAACAGCTCAGGTCTTTCTGCTTGATTTAACATCAGTAAAGTGCAGGATTGATCTGTGAATTCATTTTTGGATGAACTGATTGTTAATTGAGCAGCAAGAGGTGATTAATATGAGATTGATTTTTTATTTTTACAAAATTTTAACTAGTTTTAGCTTAGGTGAAGCTAAAACTAGATTTTGAGGAGTTCTGGATAGAATATATTTATAGAAAAAGTTTTTCTTATCTTAAATGCAAAATGTATGCATATTTTGTACAGTTTTGGCTTAATTGCTGCTCTGAATATGTTGTTCTTTCAAAAAAAAAAAATTTTTCAGTCTGGATACTTAAATTCAACGATTAAACCGGAAAAGGGTAGAGTGCCTTCTCCGGGGTCGTCCTGCCTCAAGTGGAGGAGTTTAAGTATCTGG